CACGGAGGAAGGGGCCAGCAAGCGGCAAGGCAGTGACTGCCGTGAGCTGTCAACAGCAGCTCACCTGGCAGCCGTGGGGCCTCCACCATGCCGTGGTCCTCCCAATTCAGTAAGAACAAACTGACCGTTCGAGGAGGGGTGAGGTATAAGGTGAACGACTGAAGAGGAGGATGACTAGGGGCAGGCGCTGTGGCGCGGTGGGTAAAGTAGCCTGCAGTGCCGGCACTGGATAAAGACACCAGTTTGAGTCCTGGCTCCTCCACTTCTGATCCAGCTCCCTGCTAACAGCCTGGGAAAAGCAGCAGACCTGGAAGAAGCTCCTGGCTCGAGGCTTTGGCCTGGCCCAGCTTTGGCTGTTGTGTGCATTTGGAGAGTGAACCAGCAGATGAAGATCTCTCTGTCTCTCCTTCTCTCTAACACTGATTCATAAATAAATGAATTTATTTTTTTTAAAAGAAAAGGATGACTCCTAATATCCAGAGTATATTTATATATGTACCCTATTTAAATATATGTATTTAATTTTTTATTAGGTTATTTGGTTTTTTTAGAGGCTTATTTATTTATTTAAAAGCAGAGTTACAGAGAGGCAGAGGCAAAGAGGGGGTGGGGGGAGAGGGAGAGAGAGGGAGAGAGGGAGAGAGAGGGAGAGAGGGAGAGAGAGGGAGAGAGGGAGAGAGGGAGAGAGAGGGAGAGAGGGAGAGAGGGAGAGAGGGAGAGAGAGGGAGAGAGGGAGAGAGGGAGAGAGGGAGAGAGGGAGAGAGGGAGAGAGAGAGAGTTCACTCCCCAGATGGCCACAATGGCTAAAGCTGCGCCAATCTGAAGCCAGGAGCCAGGAGCCTCCTCTGGTCTCCCAAGCGGGTGTAGGGGCCCAAGGATTTAGACCATCTTTTCACTGCTTTCCCAGGCCATAGCAGAGAGCTGGATCGGAAGTGGAGCAGCCAGGACTCAAACTGGTGCCCATATGGATGCTGGTTCTAGAGCTGGCACTGTGGCGCAGCAGGTTAACGCCCTGACCTGAAGCGCCAGCATCCCATATGCGTGCAGGTTTGAGACCCAGCTGCTCCACTTCCAATCCAGCTCTCTGCTATAGCTTGGGAAAGCAGTAGAAGATGGCCCAAGTCCTTGGGCCCCTGCACCCAGCTTGGAAGACCAGAGGAGGCTCCTGGCTTCGGATCAGTGCAGTTCCAGCCATTGCGGCCAATTGGGGAATGAACCAGAGGATGGAAGACCTCTCTCTCTCTCTCTCCCCCTCACTTTCTCTCTTCTCTCTGGGTAACTCTGACTTTCAAATAAATAAATAGATCTTAAAAAAAAAAAAAAAAAAAAAGGATGCCAGCACTGCAGGCAGTGGCTTTACCCGCTATGCCACAGGGCCAGACCCTCACTTGTTTATTTGAAAGAGAGAGATAACTTCCATCTGTTGTTTCACTGCCCAAATGCCCACAACTGCCAGGGCTGGGCCAAGGCCAAAAAACTATGAGCCAAGAACTCCACCCAGGTTTCCCATGTCAACAGCAGAAGCCCAAACACTAAGGCTATCACCATGACCTCCCAGGTATGTATCAGCAGGAGGCTGGAGTCAGAGCCAGATCCAGGCATTGAACTCAGGTAATCCAATATGGGATGTGGGCATCTTACCCACAGTCTCAACTGCAAGGCTTACCACCTGCCCCGTTCCATATTTACATTAAGTCGCTCTCCTGTGTTAAAGGAGGAGACACAGTTAACTCCATCTCAGAACCAAAAGGGCAGCTTCAGCAGGTCCACTGTGGAACAACCTATAAGCTCTCACTTATCCCACCTCCTTCTGCAGGCCTGCAGACATGGGCTGATTGATGGAAGCAAAAGGGACTGCACGCAGGCAGGAAGGTCCCATCTAAGTAGAGGCCATTACCTGGAAACAGCTTTAGAAACTTGAAAACCAACAGGTGGGGGCAAGAACCCTAGCTCTTCCTCTCAGAATAATCTGGTACCAGACAGCTCAGGCCAGGTGACCTCCTGGTGGTTGAGAGTAGGCCTGGGCAGCCAGGAGGGGGTGAACAGGACCTCAGGCTGTCATGGAAACTCTTCTTTCCTCAGGCCTGTGCCGCATATGGCAGGTGTCCTGAAACATCCATTCTTGCTGCCTGAGGCTGGCTGCTGCCCTCCAACATGCGGGAGGGGCGCGTGCCTCTGTCTGAAAGGCCCTTTCCCCCCCACCACGGCGACAGCAGCACAAAGGAGTCTCCAGTGTGCGCCTCACAGCCCGGCTCCACAGACAGGCAGACGTGCGGGAAGGGTTTCCATGGCCCCGTGGAAATCTAAGCTCCCTGCTCCCAGCAGGCTTCGATGCAGCCCACAGATCACAGACAGCAGCAGGCCAGAGGCCACGGTGCAGATTTCTCCCGTGCTGCCTGAAACGCGATGCCCATCCTGCCTTCGCCGTTAGGGGGGTCTTGCAAACCCTGCATTTCTTCCCAAGCTGACATCAGAGAGCTACTCATTGATTTGGGACCTTGAAGTAGCAAACAGGCTGGACTCCCAGCAAAACTGGATTCTGTGTAGAACACGGGAAATTCACCTGGCCCAAGGTGGATAAGAATCACAAATTATGAGACTAGAAACCTAAGCCAAAGGGATTATTTAAATTTTTTTTTTTTTTTTTTTACTTATTTGATAGGGGTGGGGGTGGGAGAGGGAGAGAGACAGAGATAGAAAGAGAGAATGAGTTTTCCCACCCACTGGTTCACTCCCCAAATGCCTGCAATGGGTAAGCCAGGAGAAGCCAGGAGCTGGAATCGCAATATGTGGGTGGCAGGAGCCATCATTATCACCTCCCAGGGTTTGAATTAGCAGGAGCTGGCATCAGGGAATTGAACCCAGGTACTCTGATGTGGGACATGGATGTCTTTTTTTTTTTTTTTCCCTTAGATTTATTTATTTTTACTTGAAAGTCACAGTTAGAGAGAGAAAGAGAGAGAGAGAGAGGTCTTCCACCCACTTGTTCACTCCCCAATTGGCCACAATGGCCAGAGCTGAGCCAATCCAAAGCCAGGAGCCAGGAGCTTCTTCTGGGTCTCTTACGTGGGTGCAGGGGCCCAAGGACTTAGGTCATCTTCGACTGCTTTCCCAGGCCATAGCAGAGAGCTGGATTGGAAGTGGAGCAGCTGGGACTTGAATCGGCGCCCATATGGGATGCCGGCACCACAGGCAGTGGTTTTACCCGTTACTCCATAGTGCTGGCCCCATGGGACATGGATGTCTTAACCATCCCTAAACACTTGCCCCTGCCAAAGGGACTATTCACAGTAGGTGCAAGGTGTCAGGGTGGAAAACCACATGGTATTTTGCAAAGTCTAAAACTGCATCGCAAGCTGGATGTCCATGTTTGGGGTGGGGGGGTATTATGGCCATGAGCCAAGGGCAGACAATGCCACCCAACAGAGTGAGTGCCATCTTCCAGCAGTGCCAGGGAGACCCGAGGATTGAGAACAGGTGTACAGGGAACTAGAACAATGACATATGGGGAGAGGAATGGACCATCTGATTGAATTTTGAGGATAAACTACTAGATGTCTAAGAATGTCCTAATTACACTCTGAGCACAGTGTCGGGGGTACCCCAAACATCTGTGTTTAAGGTAACCTGGACAAGTGTGGAGTCCCGACACTGCAGGAGCCGTTAGCTCCCTTCATTTCATTTATTCCACATGTTTTCTTGAGGGCTCATTGTGTGCCTGGCTGCTTTCGGTCCCTGAAATGCACTGCCTTGTGCAGGCAGTAGATGTGACTGCAAGGATGCTGGAGGGCTGCGTATCAGGGACACTGCACCTGCCCAGAGTTTTCACGGGGATGCACGGTCTGAGTGATGTTTAACCTGGACCAGATGGGCAGGGGAAGGGAACAGTCCATGTATCTGTAACAGGAGGGGGCTTGGCCAGGGTGACAGAAGCCAGGGAGTGAAGAAGACAGAGGTCAGAGAGGCAGGACCTTAAGGGATAGTCTTTTTTTTTTTTTTTTTAAGCAGAATGCTGTAATTTACCTAGCCTTGCCTTTTTTTTTTTTTTTTTTTTAAGATTTATTTATTTGAAAGAGTCACACACAGAGAGAGAATCTTCCATCTGCTGGTTCACTCCCCAGATGGCTGCAACAGCCAGGGTTGACGCAGGCCGAAGCCAGGAGGCAGGAGCTTCATCTAAGTCTCCAGCATGCAGCGGCCCAAACCCTTGGACCATCTTCCACTGCTTTCCCAGGTGCGTTAGCACGGGGCTGGATCACAAGTGGAGCAGCTGGGACACAAAGCGGCGTCCCTTTGGGATGCTAGTATTGCAGGAGGCAGCTTTACCTGCAATGCCGCAATTCTGGCCCCAAGGGAGGATCCTTTACCTAAGACTGCTGGTAAACCAGGGGATGGGTTTAAGCAACAGTGTGGCACAGCAGAACCATGTTTGAAGCTCACATGAGCAGCACCACTGTAACATGGCTATTTCCACCAAAGCAGGCAGCTCACACCTATGCTATTTCCGTGAGGCCTCACTGGAAGGTGCACCCTAGGCCTAGTGATTACAGAATGAGCCCTGCTTAGGTCCACATCAAGTGCATTTCCAAACAGCTCTAACCACAGGAGATGCAAAGGTCCCCCTCCTAGCACGTTCAGAGTCCCTGCACCAGGAAGCAGGAGACACAGGGTTAAGAGCACAGGTTCTGGCATCATGCAGTTCTGGGCTCAAATGGTGCCTGCCACATATTAGCTGGGCAACCCAGCTTAACCTCTCTGGGCCTCAGTCAAATGCAGCATGAGGAGAAATGCTTCCTGTGGGTTGCTGCGTGGATTCGTGAAGGTCAAGCAGTTAAAATCCACATCTCTTATCCTGGTGCATGACAGATGCTAAAAAACGTTGATGATCACTCATCGAGTTCACACTCAGCATGGGATGAACACAGAAGCCGCGCAGGACTCCTGACAGACGTAAAACAACCCCAGAAACAGCAGAGCAGAGGAAGCAGGCTTCTACTTACTTGCCAGCAGGAGGCAGGAGATGGCCACGGTGTACAGCTGCTTGGAGGTGGCGATGTTGTAGCGGTCCATGAAGTGGTCCAGCAGGTAGACAGCCAGGTGCCGGGCTGCAGGACAGAGCTGGCAGTGGCTGCTCAGCAGGGTCAGGATGTCCACAAAGAACCGGCGGCTTTTCAGGAGCGGGGAGTGGGCGCGGAAGGCAGGCAGCTTCATTTCCTGCAGGGCAAGCGGGACACGGGGCTCAGGGCTGCCTCCCTAGAGCCTTGGATGCCCTGGAAAGCAAGATCCGCAGTTCCCTCCATATCCACATCAGTTCTTCCAGCGCCAGCAAGGCTCCTCCATTCCTGACACTGCTGGGCCATCTCTTACCTGCCCTCCATAAGCACAGGCTCAGAACAGATTGGGGGCTTCTACATTAGCAGAGGAAGCCACTCATTCCTGGAGAAAGGGCTGCTGTGGGAGATGCATGAGGCCACAACAGAAGGAACATCAGACCCACAACCCAGCGGCGGCTCCACGCTCAGCCACATGTGTAACCCTGCTCACCTGCCTTCTCCTTTGCTTCCTCCTCAGTAGCTGAGGAGTAAATGAAAAAATGTAGGCAAAACGCCCAGCACACAGTAACACCCCCCGGTCCCACAGCTCATTCCCTCTGTGACCAGGAATGGGAGGCAGCTTTTGGAAGGAAAACAAAAATCAACCTAAAAACGCTGTGGAAGTCAAAGCGCAAGAAACTCCCAAATGTTCTTCCCCCTGAGTCACTAATTGTTGACATTTCTGCCTTCTTTCCTCCTTATACACACACTTTTTTATGACAGAAAAGGCTTTACCATATAACCCACCTACATGAGACTCTTTTTTCCTTTTTTTTTTCTTTTTTGACAGGCAGAGTTAGAGAGAGAGAGACAGAGAGAAAGGCCTTCCTTTTCCATTGGTTCACCCCCCAAATGGCCGCTACGGCCGGTGCTCTGTGTCGATCAGAAGCCAGGAGCCAGGTGCTTCTTCCTGGTCTCCCATGCGGGTGCAGGGTTCAAGCACTTGGGCCATCCTCCACTGCCTTCCTGGGCCACAGCAGAGAGCTGGACTGGAAGAGGAGCAACCGGGACAGAATCCGGCGCCCCAACCGGGACTAGAACCCAGGGTGCCAGTGCCACAGGTGGAGGATTAGCCTAGTGAGCCACAGTGCCAGCTCATGAGACCCTCTTTGTGGAGGAAATGTCCTGGGGCCATGGGCAGCTAAAGAGAAGCAGAACAGAAGGAAAACAGGAGAGAAGTTGGCAGAAAGAATGAGATTAAAACAAACTGGAAGCCGGCGCCGCGGCTCACTAGGCTAATCCTCCACCTTGCGGCACCGGCACCCTGGGTTCTAGTCCCGGTCGGGGCGCCGGATTCTGTCCCAGTTGCCCCTCTTCCAGGCCAGCTCTCTGCTGTGGCCAGGGAGTGCAGTGGAGGATGGCCCAAGTGCTTGGACCCTGCACCCCATGGGAGACCAGGAGAAGCACCTGGCTCCTGGTTTCGGATCAGTGCAATGCGCTGGCCGCGGCAGCCATTGGAGGTTGAACCAAAGGCAAAGGAAGACCTTTCTCTCTGTCTCTCGCTCTCACTGTCCACTCTGCCTGTCAAAAAAAAAAAAAAAAACAAAAAACAAACCAACAAAAAAAAAAAAACAACAACAAACTGGAGCCCTTCCTTTCTCGGACGCCTCTCGCTTAGCCCGGGACGTTACTTAAGTAGCAATGGACAAGGACTCGAAGGAGACTGATCTGTTCACTCGCTCACTCAGGAGATTCATTAATTCATCTACACTCTCACCACTACTCGAGGCACGAGGGACGGAGCTGAGGATAAGGCAGACACAGACCTCAGTGTGAGACTTAAAACTATGAAATCTGTAGAGGAAGACAGGAATAAATCTTTATGGTCTTAGATTAGGCTGTGGTTCCTTAGAAATGGCACCAAAAGCTGAAGCAACCAAAGAAGACACCACGTAAATGAAATTTGCACAATTAAAAGCCTTGATGCTTCAGAAGATAGAGGTGAAAAGAAAGCCCCCAGAAAGGGAAGAAGTATTTGCAAAGCAGATGTTGGTAAGACACTGTAACAGAACACATAAATAATACTTAAAATTCAACAGTGAAAAGACAAACACCCACACTGAAAAATGGGTAAGGGTGTGAAAAATGGCTTGGGAAGGATGCTCAACATCATCAGGGAAATGCAGATCAAAACCAAGGTGATGTTACCTCACACCCATTAGTATGGCCGTCATTTAAAAAAATTAGTAAATAGGCCGGCGCCTCGGCTCAATAGGCAAATCCTCCGCCTTGTGGCGCCGGCACACCGGGTTCTAGTCCCGGTGGGGGCGCCGGATTCTGTCCCGGTTGCCCCTCTTCCAGGCCAGCTCTCTGCTGTGGCCCAGGAGTGCAGTGGAGGATGGTCCAAGTGCTTGGGCCCTGCACCCGCATGGGAGACCAGGAGAAGCACCTGGCTCCTGCCTTCAGATCAGCACAGTGCGCCGGCCGCAGCACACCCGCCGTGGCAGCCATTGGAGGGTGAACCAACGGCAAAGGAAGACCTTTCTCTCTGTCTCTCTCACTGTCCACTCTTCCTATCAAAAAAAAAAAAAAAAAAAAAAAAAAAAAGTAAATAAGAGCTGGTGTTTGGTGCAACCGTTAAGCCACTGTTTGGGACAATGGCTTCTCATAACGGAGTCCTTAGGTTCAAGTAAGGGCTCTACTTCCAATTCCAGCTTCCTGCTAATATGCTTCCTGGAAGACAGCAGTTGAGGGCTCAAGGAGGTGGGTCCCGGCCAAACATATGGGAGACCTGGACTGAGTTCTGGGCTCCGGCTTCAGCCTGGCCCAGGCCCAGATGTTGTAGGCATTTAGGGGAGTGAATCTTTCTCTCTGTGTGTTTCAAATTAAGATAAATAAATAAATACAGTCAATCAACCACTCAATGGCATAGAAACAAGCATTGGTGAGGACGCAGACAAATTAGAACTCTCACATACCACTGGTAGGAAACTAAAATGGTGCAGCCACCGTGGGAGACAGCTCAGCAGTTCCTCAGAATGAGGTTACCACGTGAGCCAGTAATTCCAACCCTCAGTATAGAAAGGAAAACATGGGGCTGCACAAACTTGCGCATGAATATTCACAGCAGCAGGACTCATAATGGCCCCAGGAGAAAACAAATCAGATGTCAGCTGGCTGATGAATGCATAAACAAACGCAGTACAAACAACATCCAATGCAGTATCAGACACACTGCATAAGGAAATGCCCTGAACACACTATGCTAAAAGGCCCTGCGTTATACAATTCCATTTATATGAAATATCCAGAAAAGGCAAATGGATACAAGTAGAAGGTCCATTTGTGCAGGCTGGGAGTGAGGGGCAGGAGTGACTACAGTGTAATTGCTAATGGGTTTAGGATTTCTTGTGCTTTACATGTTTGTTTATTTCTTTGAAAGGCCAATAGAGAAGAGAGAGTATCTTCCACCCACTGGTTCACTTCTAAAATGCCCACCCACAATGGCTCAGGCTGGGCCAGGCTGTAGCCAGGAACCCATAACTCCATCCAGGTATCTTATATGGGAGGCAGGGACCCAAGTACCTGAGCCAGCACCACTGCCTCCCTGGATCCACATCAGCAGGAAGCTGGATCGGACACAGAGGCGGAACTCAAGTCCAGGCACTCTGAGCTGGGACGCAGGCATCCCAGGCAGCAGCTCAGCCTGGTGAGCCACAATGCCCACCTCTGGGGTTTCTTTCTGCAGGGACGAAACTGTTCTGAAATCAGATAGTGGTGATGGTGTACGACTCTTTTTGAATACACTAACAGGCGAACAGCATGCTTTTTTTTTATGCTTTATTTTTAAACTTCTATTTAATAAACATAAATTTCCGAAGTACAACTTTTAGATTATAGTGGCTGGGCCAATCTGAAGCCAGGAGCCAGGAGCTTCCTCCACATCTCCCACGTGGGTGCAGGGGCCCCGAAGACTTGGGCCATCCTCTGCTGCTTTCCCAGGCGCATTAGCAGGGAGCTGGATTTGAAGTGGAGCAGCTGGGACTCAAACTGGTGCCCATATGGGATGCTGGCATGATAAGTGGCGGCCCCTGGTTCTGCTTGTACTCATCATAGTTTCCCCAGTATCCGAGTGAGACTAGGTACCCCACCAGAGGCTGAATACTGCTGAAGGAATGTAGGGAGGGAGGCAGAGATGAAGGAGCCAGAAAGCAATGGATTGCAGCAGTGGGTACAGAGGCCCTGGGCCTACAGACGGAAGATGTGACCAGCCTACAGGGCAGAAGGCCTGCGGTGACTCTGGAGAGGAGAAACAGGGCCAACCAAGCACTGAAAAGGCATCTAGGAAGGCACCGGCTGAAGATGCAGGCAGGCAGGACAGGGTGTTCGGCAGAGCAGCACCTGCACAGCCACACAGGAGTCCCATTGAGAGCGGACACAACAGCCAGACAGGTAGGGTATGCCTAGCAGGCTGGGGAAGTGGGCAGGGTCCCAGCCAGTAGCCCCTGCTCTGAGAGCAGTGGTGAGCCACCAAAGGATTTAGAGCAAGCGGGGCATCGACCTGGCCAGGGCAGCCTGCTCCTCCTGCGCTACGGCCAGGCACCAATAGCTCCCCCAACAGTGCTCTCACCCTCCACAAGATCCTACAAGCCTGCAGGCTCCTTGGGTATTTCCCCTAAGCACAGGGCTCTATGTTCAGGCTCCTGAGAAGCAACCATAGCCATGAGTCCTTGGTGTCTGGTAGGCTGCAGCTGCCGGAAATGAGCCTTTGCCAAGTGACCCTTGGCAGGGCCCTGCCGCCCTCATCACTGCAGTTCAAAGCCTTGAAACACAAGTCAGATATGCAACGTCCTGACTCCCCTCCCCACCCAACCCAGCCAGCTCATTGCCTTCTAGATTGTCCCTTGGGCCAAGTGGGAGAGGAGCGCTCAAAGCAACACAGTATCTACATATCCTCTGTACACCTGCCTGGGAGACGGGGCCTCCGCCTTGAGCAGATTCTCAAAGGAAGCCACTGGTCCCCGGAATGGGCAGCGACAGATGCCTCCAAGGAGCCAGTAGGCAAGGCTTCCTGCAAGGTCGGTCTCAGGGAAGGCAGCACTGTGAACCAGCAAGACCTGTAAACTCTAGAAAGCATGAGGTCCCTGGGATGCTTCTGATCCTGATTTCTGCTCCTCTCTAAAATACTGATTAAATGTCATTTCCCAGGAGAGGCCTTCCCTGTCCTCCCCAGCAACCCAAACCAGTTTCCCCTTTCTCTTTCTTCCACGACCCTGATTTACTTACTCAGGTGTCTCTTCCTACCAAACTCCAGGCTCCAGAGAGCCAGGGCCAGGGGTCTGAAGCACACCACTTGCCCCGAGCCAGGTAGGGAGGCTGCCTGAGAGGCAGGTGTTGAACGGTTACCTGTTGAGTGAAAATGAATGAACAAAGGGAGGCACCTCCCTATACCAAACCCACCGCCACCCTCCCTGTAATATGCAGGAGCAACTTGACCATGAAGCTGGTCAGCTGGGGTTGGAACCTCAGGTCCAGGATTTATTGACCTCAGGCATGGGAACTGTGACCTTCAGCATCGGACGAGGGGGTGGAAAAGCCCACTGCTGTAAACACAAGGATTCGGCCCTCAGAGCAGGCAGCTGTGGGCCTTCTCCCAAGCTGGGTCATCACTTTTCAGATAAGCGGAGTTTATCTGAGGCCTTGAGCCTTGTCAAAGGCTCTTCAGGCTCTCAAAGGGACCTGCTGCTTTGTGCAACCGGGTGTGTGGACAGGTGGGGCCAGGTGGGGCCGAGGCGGCTCTGCTGGAAGTTCACCTGTGTGGCTCAGACAGGCCCCACAAACAGAGGGAACTGGTCTCCCTGGACCTCAGCTTCAGAAAAGGGCGTTTTTTTGGCATACAAGCAACAATGCAGGGCTCCGGGGTGCCTGTTCTGCTGGGTGTGAGAGTACAGCTGATGACCTGGCTAACCCAGTTAGTGGGGAAATGGAGTTCATTACAAGGGTTTGCACGAAGGATCTGCATTCCTCCCCAAGCACTCTTGACCTAAGGCTGCTCCGAGGCCGCCGGCAGACCGAGTGCAGGAAGCCAGCCCCTCTGCCTGGTGGCCTGAATTCCAGAAACAAAAGAGCAGCCTGCCTGGGGCAGGCGGCGGCTTGTAAAGCTCTCTCCAGATCAGGCAGGCGTTTGGCAGGCACTCAGCAATCAGGGTGGAGTGGGGGGTGGGGGGCAGGAATTCAGCCAGGCAGGGTGACCTTCCTCTCAGCAGCAGGCCCACCCAGGGCAGCATTGGTGTGGCCGGCTAGGGGAGGGTGGGCGTTAGAGGGCAGCTCTGCCTCCCCGCCCCAGCTGCTGGCCCTGTGTCACCTGAGCCATGTAGGAGAGCCCAGCTCCTGCAGGGGCACAGAGACAGACACAGGGCAGGTGGCCGTGATAGAGTTCAGGGAAAGCAAGGTACCTGACATTTTAAAAAATCCTGCTTTCCTTATCGCGGCAATTCACTTTTTAAAGTAATCACGATGGGCTTGTAAAACCTGGGAGATACACACCAGAGTGATAGCAGTGGTGATGGAGGCTGGTGCTGAGACCCTGGGTGGTTTTTCACTTTCAGCCCTCTCAAAACTGCTTGAAATTTTTTTTAAATATTTAGTTATTTATTTAAAAGATGGATAACAGAGAAGGGGCTGGGAGTAGGGAAAGGAGAAAGAGAGGGAGGCAGGAGAGAGAAGTCTTCCATTTGCTAATTTGGTACCCATATGTCCACAACAGAACAGAACAGCCAGGGTTAGGCCGGGAGGAACCCAAGAGCCAGGAACTCCAGCTGCGTCTCCTACACGCGTGGCAAGGACTCACGTGTTTGAGCCAACATCTGCTGCCAATCAAGGTAAGCACTGGCAGGAAGCTGCATGGGAAGCGGAGGAGTCAGGACCGGCAGCAGGCTCTCCAACGAGGAATGCAGGAGTCCCAAGCAGAGCCTTCACCCACTGTACCACAACATCCACTCCAACACCATGTTTATTTAAAAAAAAAAATCCAAAACATTTCCACTTTATTATTTCAATTACCGTTTTTGGTTAGCAAAAAGAAAAAAAAAGAGAAAAATTAAATACCTACTATATTAAGGCCCAGCTCACAATGTATGTCCACAGATTTTCTGGCAACTTCCCAATATCCCTTTAACACAATGTGCTTGATAACAACACCCCCAGTGCCCAGGTCTGCCTCACTAACCCTCCTACAGGTAAAGCACGTGCCAAGGTCTTCCCTAGAAGGGGTTTTTCCTTTTTCTATTTACTAATTATAAACTACATGTTCCCATGTGAATTTTAAAAAGTGGAAAACAATAACAAATTCTCAATTGTAATTCTATATTCAGAGTGAAAGACTAAGTTTTGCGTGGGTTCTTCAGACATTTCTTCGTACAAATTTTCTTTCCAAAAATAAAAAAGGGGTGGCACTGTGGCGTAGCTGGCATCCCATATGGGAGCTGCCTCGTGTCCCGGCTGCTCCACTTCGATCCAGCTCCCTGCGAATGGCCTGGGGAAAGCAGGAAACCTGGCCCCAGCACTGGCTGTGACCACTGGAGAGTGGCTAGTGGGCAAATGATCTCTCTTGGCTTCTCCTTCTCTCTCACTGTAACTCTTTCCTTCCTTCCTTCCTCCCTCCCTCCCTCTCTCCATTCCTTCCTTCCTTCTTCTTCTTTTTTTTTTTTTTTAAAGATTTATTTATTTATTTGAAAGCTACAGTTAGAGAGAGGCAGAGGCAGAAGCAGATAGGGAAAGAGAGAGAGGTCTTCCATTCTCTGGTTTACTCGCCAAGTGGCCACAACAGCCAGAGCTAAGCCGATCCGAAGCCAAGACCAGAAGCTTCTTCTGGGTCACCCACAGGTGCAGGGGCCCAAGGACTTGGGCCATCTTCTACTGCTTTCCCAGGCCATAGCAGAGAGCTGGATAGGAAGTGAAGCAGCCAGGCCTCCAACCGGCACCCATATGGGATGCTGGAGCTACAGGTGGCGGCTTTACCAGCTCTGCCACAGCAGTGCCGCCCCTCTCTAACTCTGTCAAGTAAATTTTTTAAAAATGAAAAACTCCATCCTGGTCCCCAACGTGGGTGCAGGGGCCCAAGCACCTGAGCCATCTTCCCTGCTTCTCCAGGCACATGAGCAGGGAGCTAGATGTGAAGTGGAGCGGCCGGGACTCGAACCGACACCCATATGGTCTAACCTGCCGTGCCACAACACAGGCCCCTACATCACAACCTACAACACAACTGCTTCCTGCCCATCTTCCCAGCACACAGTGCACGGCAGTCTTCCAGAGGCTTGCTGGGGTCCTCAGAGAAAGGCTGCACCATACCTCACCCATCTCTGCTCCTCAGAGCCCTCTCCCAGCCCCCTCCTACCCTCCGGCATCAGGGCTTCCTGACACCACCACACCCAGGATGGGGTCTCCGTGAGGACGGGGGCTGCTTCTGCTCTTGGCTGTACCCGGTGCACCAGGCACACTGTGAGAGCTCATGAATGCATGCTGAATGCCATGAATGGATATATAAGCAAGCAAATGCAATACTCCTGGGGCATCTCTCATGCCTCCTTTGCCCTGGAGGCCCCCTTATCTACCCCAGCAAGGGAACCCCGCTGTGAGGCCTGTCAGCGCTTGCTGAGCAAGAGCTTATCTAACAGGGAGAGTGCTGGAGAAGGCCAACGCCAAGGCCACCAGCTGAGCTAGCTGTACAGACAGGGGCTGTCTGGGTGGGTCTCCGGGGCCGCCCCCTCCCCCGCGGTGGCAAACACTTTCCGTTCCTGTGCAGGACTGAGAAGTACTGTGCCAGCCACCCGGAGAGCATTTACACCTAACCCTGAGCCCGCAGCCAGCAATGCTGCGCCGACCACCCTGAGGGCCCCCTGCCTATCAAGAGAAAATTAGGCAAGTGCTCTCCACACACAGGCTTCCACAGCATGGTGAGGCTAACCCAGAGGTCTCTGAAGTTCACACACAGTATGCACGTTTAGCCACTCACCTCTGCTTTCTCATACTGGGGAAGGAAGGGGAGCCTTCATTTTAACCCTTGGTGCCCTGCACTGCAGTATTTTCTGCCAACTGTCTTGCAGTTTTGCTTCTCGTTATTAACCCCTTCTTCCTTCAGACTGCGGTTTAAAAGTCACTTCTTTAATGAGAGTTTCCTGCTCAGGCTACCATCAGATAGTCCCTAAGCTCCCACCAGGGCAGGCACTGGGCTGGCCTAGTCCAGCCATGTGACCCCCAATACCTGATACAACGGAGATGCTCAGTATTGTCAAAATCTTCATATTTCCAGAATAGAAAATATGTGAACAGGTGAGAAAAAAAGTTGCTTGCTGCTGATCTCACACTGCATAAAATGATTTATCACAAGGAGCAATTTCAAAGACATGTGAAGAATGGGGGGAGAGGTGCCCCAGAAACTGAACGAGCTGAATCTCAGGGGACAGAGACAGCTCCGTCCTTGCCTTAGGTGGCAGGTGCCTCAGTCCACCCAGCAGCAATAGAGGGTTCCAAGGAAGAAGGAAGAAGCAGGTTAGTGTTTATGGAGGATGAGGCACTTCAAGAAGCATTGTAAGCATGCATAGTAGGCATTTCAAAGCCCGGGTTTCCCAATATCTGTTCCGTGGGACACCAGTCCCAAGATATTCTCCCTGAAGAAAGGGATTCTGTGGGTCACAGTTTGTGAAACCCTGCATGCCTCATTGCTCTTCCTAAAATAAATCATGTAGTGGCCCCATAGAGGCCTTCATGCATTTGTTCAGCAGAAAACTTAGTAACTTTGGGGAAATTTCATATTAATTTTTTTTTATTTTTTAAAATTTGTGTTTTGAAATTTATTTGATAGAGATCGACAAAGAGATCTTTCCATTCACTGGTTCACTCCCAAATGCCCACAACAGCCTGGGCTGGACCAGGCTGAAGCCAGGAGCCCAGAACTCAACCCACGTCCTTCACAAGGATGGTGCAGACCCAAGCACTTGAGCCATCACCTGCTGTCCCCGGGGTGAGCATTATCAAGAAGGTGGAATTGGAAACAGCCCAAACTCAAAACTCCCATAGGGGATGCAGGCCTTCCAAGTGTGGTCTGAACCACTGTGCCAAATCCCCACCCAGCTTAAATCTATTTATCCATAGAACACCACCCTCCCCTTTTACTGCAGGGTGGGACAGAGAGACAATATCCCAGCAAGCCTGCTCTGAGAAATGGTGCTTTTGGGTACTGGCTGCTGGGCACAAATGTGCTACAGGAAATTCAACTCCAACGCATCTGGAAGGCGAGAGTCTGGCAAAAATCCCTGGCACGGTGCCTAACAATTTGATGATCCTAAGCCCAGGGATTTACTGAAAAGCTTGCTGATATTAAGAAGCACGGCTTCCACTTGCACAGCTGCCCTGGTAAGAATCTGTGCACAGCCATCCATTAGAGGCCCACGAGCGGCTGCAGACGCCAACTCACAGAGGCCCCAGGCAGCCAAGTACAGGGTGCCCTGCCTTGGGAGGTCCAGGGTTTGGGGGGGAGATCATACCCTCAGGCCTCTGCCTCCTCTCCTATGCAGAATGTAGATTTTTTATATTACATTTATAATTTTAGCAGCTCCCAATCCTCCATCAACATTGATTTATTCCCTCCTTAGAAATTCTGCTACTGCCCAGGAAACTGAAGTACATGGTACTCTAGGCATGGAGGGACAGAGACCTCTCTTTGCACTGAAATTGAGCAGGAGGTTCAGACCTCCTGCCAGGTCTGCTAGAGTACATGGGATTGCTCACTATGAGGAACTGTTCATACAGCCTTATCAGATACATAAATACATCTATATCAATTCCTATACATACAGATATACACTTAAGAATGAAATGTAAAGGAATACAATATCCACGCGTGTGTATGTATGTGTATATAAATACACACACACACACACACACATGACGGGTCTTCAAAAAGTCCAGGGGAGGGCCTGCATTGTGGCACACGGTTAAGCTGCCACTGGAACAATGGCATCCCATCGGAGTGCAAGTTTGAGTACCAGCTGTTCCACTTCCATTCCAGCACCCTGCTAATGCATCTGGGAGGCAGCAGATGATGGCCCACGATCTTCGGCCCCTGCACACCCATGGGGGAGACCTAGATGGAGTTCTTGGCTTCTAGCTTCGGCCTGGCCCAGACCTGGCTGTTGCAGCTATTTGGGGATTGAACCAGCAGATGGAAGATTTCTCCGAGCCTGCCTCTCTCTCTCTCTCTCTCTCTCTCTATGTCTGCCTTTCAAATAAATAAATAATTCTTTTTAAAAAGTTCAGGAAAACACATATTATGAAAACAACTACACACAGATTTCAAATGTTTACACCAAAACAAACTGATCTTTTGATTCCATTTTTCTATGAAGCTTCTGAAGTACTCAAGTGTGTACATACACACACACGCCTCTCTTTTCCCTCTCTCTGTACAGTCTCCCCCTTAACACTGTACCTCAGTGTAGGCTCTGCACACATTCACTCCACGCAACACCTGCTCCAGGGGCAGGCCCAGGCAGCAGTGCCAGCGCCAGCATCAGTGCCCAGGAAACTGAGGCAAAGCCACATTGCACGCTGCAGGTGAACAGCAAACTCCAGACTCGGACAGGAGAGGCGGTGGCGCGGGACTGGGGTGCAACACCATTTGGAGTGTGACATCCCCTTCCCAAGGAGCACACGGTGCAGAGCACGGCTGAGCTGCTCTCAAACACCAGCCAGCCACCAAGAGCCACCATGGGGGGCATCCTCGGGGCTGCCCCCACGCTTGCCCTCGCCCTTGCCGCTGGGAGAAGGCCCAGGCGGGGGGGGGCCGTGTCTGCTGGGAACACAGAGCAGCAAGATGTGAAGCAACTCTCTCGGTGTGTAACCAAGGTGACCAACAGGAAAGGGAGACTTGCACATGTATGGGGAACACAAAGGGGGAGGGGCGCCGCTTCTGCAGAGGGCTGGCAGGCTCAGCCTCCTTCCCTTCTCTGCCCGGTTGCCTCATCAAGACAAACAGGCGTTTTCGGTAATGCCTCTACTCCTCGAGAACATGACTGCAACGTGTGCTGCCGCAGGTGGGCGCAGGGAGTGGGCACGGCTGCGCAAGATGCCAGCAAGGCCACCAACATCTCCTCCTGCCGGAGCGCCGCCTGTACTCCCGACACGTGATAGGCCAACTCCACACACCCCCTCACTGCCAGGAGCCAGGGCCTCCACCCCATCACACAGAGCTGCCCACCTCTCTGCAGTCTGTGACCCACACCATGCCCTACTCCCTCCTAACCGCCACAAACAACATTCAGGGCCTTTCTAGAAAATGTACCGCCTGGGGGCAGCACTGTGGTGGAGCAGGTAAAGCTGCCACTTGCAGTGCTGGCATCCTATATGGACGCCGGTTCGAGTCCTGGCTGCTCCACTTTCAATCCAGCTCTCTGCTGTGGCCTGGGAAAGCAGCAGAAGACGGCCCAAGTGCTCGGGTCCCTGCACCTGCATGGGAGACCCGGAAGAAGCTCCTGGATCCTGACCAGATCGGCGCAGCTCCTGGCTTTAGATTGGCACAGCTCTAGCCATTGCAGCCATTTGAGGAGTGAACCAGTAGATGGAAGACTCTCAAGACTTTCTCTCTCTCTGCCTCTACTTCTCAGT